GGGAGGGGGTGGCTCTTGGCTCGTAGCGCGCGCACCCCGGTGTCTCCCCCTGAGACAGAACCCCGAATTCCCCGCGTTTCAGAGCGGTTTGTGGCCGTCAGACGGAAGGTGACATCCCCGGGAAGCTTCATCAACCCCAAATACTGTCAGTGTGTGGGAGTCACGCCTGGATTGCCCCGCGCTCGCCCTTGCTGTGACCTTTCTTGACAAGTCTTTTGCCTCTAAATTTCCAGAAACTGTGTTGTTTAGGCGTGCCTCTGCTCTGTCTCACACCCAGAGAATTCGGGTTTGGGATTTCCCAGCTGTGTATTCCCCGCTGTGGAAAACAGCACTGCAGGGCTTCCAAAACCTGGTGAGGCACATCAATACCAATCCTGAATGTATCTGCTTTTACCAGTAAATCTTTGTCTCATGCCCTTTAACCCCAGGGACTACAGGGAAAACAGCTATGCAAACTACTCAAGAAAGAATAACTTGCTGGATTTATTAACTAGATTTTTATTTATTTTTGTACCATAAAAGTTTCTGCAGCTTCTGAAGTTCAAGATAATTTCTGGCATAAGTTACACAATTGGTGCAGCTCACACATAACATGTCACAGCATCCTCCAAGGATGATAATGGAATCGAATCCTCCCCTGGTGGTAGGGTACCAAAGAGTAAATATAATTTGTACACCTGCCTTTCATGAAAGACTTTCATAAATATTTATCAAAAAATTGACAACACAGCCATAACTTTCTCTCCTATAAGGATATAAAAACGAGCTTTTGCCTTTACAAAAGGCATACGCATCCTGAACCTCACAAACAGTACTCTGATCTGTGAGCAAGACATCCCGAGGAATTTCCTCTACCTAGTTGGAGTTATGGTTTAACCATTTTCAGCACACGCTCTGTACAGTCTACAAATATTATAGAACCCCTGATGGCACCCATAGGAAAGCTGGATTTTCAAATGTGTCCAGTTAGACCAGCTGCTCTGCTTGAGACACCTTGAGCCCCATGGCTACAGCTGCAGCTGGGTGTTAGAGGGGCGGATAGCTTGGGAGTCTCAAGTGGAGCAGGTCAGAGGAGAGGACTCCTCCTGAACGGACACTTTTGAAAATGCTAGCCTGAACATCTTAGAAGTTATTGCTTTCCCAACAGATGCACACATACAACCTTGCTAAGGTTAAGAACAGTCGGTGTTCCTCTCTGAACAACTCCGCTCAGTCCTCCTAGCAGGAGGATTACATCTCACATTCTTTCAGAATAACTTTCTCTCCACGTGGTGGGATCGTTTCAGTCCTTCTAGAAGAAGGGAAGCAGACATCCAAGCATAGTAATGCTCTACAAAAGGAAAACATTCTTCCCTACTCATGAGAGGAGCGGGGGGACTTGTATAGCAAGTCACGATCTCCTCTGGAACACAAGCAAATGTCCAGAAACACGTAAGCGTGCCCTTGGGCTACCATGGCCTCCAGAGGCTGCAGGAGGGTTTCAGTGCTGCTTGCTTGGCAGGGGGCTGGTGGGTGGCAGCGGGTGCAGGAGAAGAACCAGAGTCCTTAGGCACTGCTTGTGACCTCTGGAAATGGCAGATCAGCTTCATCCGGGTTTCTGTGTTTGCTGAGTGGAGGGAGAGGAATTGCAGAGCTTCCTTGAGGCACCAGGCGTAGCCTTCGCAATAATCCTGCTGCAGGCTTTTGGCAGATGCTGCAAAAGCTGAAAGGGCAGAAGAGGAGAGAGGTGTCACACAGGGAGACTCAGGCTGGAGTTTTGCCTACAAGGAAGGGCAGTAAGTGTGATCGGGGGATGTACTCACCTCGGCTGTATTTCAGGTAGCTGACGGTCATCTCCAGGATGTCGGCTTTCTCCAGCTTGGAGTTGGGCTGATGTCTCTGAAACTCCTTCTCCAGGAGCAGTTTCAGCTGCTCGATGCTGCTGTTAATCCGGTCACGGCGCAGTTTCTCTACAATGGGTTTCCTCAGCTGGAACACAGAATGGGAAGAAGCCAGTTAGCAGTGAGACTTTCCCCTTCCCATCTCTATAGACCCTGCTGCTAACGGAGTTCAGCCCTTCTCAGCTCTTTGCCCTGAGACAGCAGATACTTACTCTGTTCTTCTCTTTGGGTGTTAGGATTTCCAGAGAGAGAGCACTGGGTGCCATTATCCCAAGTGCTGGTTTCAGCTCAGAGCTTGCTGGTCAGCGAGTGGAGAAGGGAGCTGGCAGTTCCTCTATTTATACGCAGTGGCTGCATACAAATGTCTGGGTCCTGAGCGACTCGGAGTTTCCCACAGTCGATAGCCAATCCGTGTGTGCCCTGGGATAATAGAGCAAGCATCTATTACAGCATGGCAAATTGACTGTGAATTGCCTGGGGATAATACCCTGCTCCCAAAGGAGCAGGTGGACTGGGGAGCCTGGGACACAATAGGGCTTGGCATTGCGGCGCTGGGGTAAGAACGTGGGAAAGCGTTTGCCGTCATTATAATCCAACTTCTGCCTGATGTTGGGAACGTCAACATCTCAATGTGCTGCCTTTTCCCAGGCTGTGGTGAAATTAAGCACAGAAGACTGATCCCAGGAAGGGATAATGCTCTGTGCCCACGACCAAGAGAGAGGTTGAAAAGGAAAAGATGCAGAATTAGAGGGACTAAACCTTTTCATTGACATTAAACCGTGCTTAGATGAATATAGTGCCAGATAATTTTCGGGCAACTAAAGACTAAAATCGAGGGAAGAACCTTTAAAATAGTTTGCACTAAGCAGTTAGCTTGAAATATTTTCCTCTCCATTGTTTAAAGTCCCTCTATAAGTTATATTCGGAGCTCCTCCTTGCTTTTGTTTGGGTAATCTGGGCTTTCCTATGGCAGCCCGTGACATGTAATGATTATGATACCTTTCCCAAACATGTCCTATTTAATTTCATGCCACTTTGCAAATGCCTCACCATTCCCTTGGTCCTGAGACTCCATGTAAAGCACCTAAATATATTTTCTCTTTACAGACAACTGAGATGCAGTGAAAAGTCAAATCTTGTCTATAACTTTACTTTTATTTTCCCACCTGCAGCATGTTAACAGGTGCTGGGGTATCCTGTGACTGTTCAGTCTTGGGCTTTCTCAGTGTATGGACATGATCTTTTTTCCTTAATGCTTGTTCTATGGTCAGAGGCTGGAAAAAAAGAGTAAATCTAGATTGTTGCTAAGAGGCTAGCAGGTTGGGCATGTTATTTTTTGAATACCTGTTTCTTATTACAACAATATTCATTAAAATCCTACCTATTTCCGGTGTCTACCTTTCAAAACCAGAAAGAAAACCTTCCATTTCACTGTGAAGCACACTCAGCCTGTTTCACCTGCCCTCAGCATCCCTCTCAATAAGCCAGGGCCAAACCCGTGTCTGTGGGTACACAGCAGCGTGTCCCAGCACACACAGGCCTGTTGCATAGAAGGATATGATCCTGCAAAGGATGATCTCATCACTAGTTATTAACCTGAAGCTTACAAAGCTTTTAACTTCCTGGCTTCTCGTGGCAGTGATTTTCAGAGGTCAGTCATTCTCCCCTCCTCCTTTCCAGCCCAAAGACATTTTACATTGAGATGGATCACTCAGGGTGTAACAATTTTAATTGTCGATGGTTGTCAAAAACCTCTAATTGACCAGGGAGTATGAGTCCTGTTCAAAATCAGTTCCCTGAATTATTTTGTCAGCTTGCAATCAGCATTATGACTTGGGCAAGCCCTGGCTGCGTGTACTCATGCCATTATTGGAGCCTGAAATCAAGCACAGGGCTTTGTGCATGAGGTGGAACGGACAGCAGGTCCTGCCACGCACCGTATGGGAGGGAATATGTTCACAGCAGCAGCAGTGGGCACGGTGAGATGGGAGGGAAGCTTTGACCCAATTTTCAGTTCTGGAAATATGAAATGAGTGGTTTTAAATAATGCCATCCTATCGCCAGCACAATGCCCCTGGTCTCCAAAGGGCTAAACCAACTCCCACTGATTAAAGCATTATCCCTTCCTTTAAGTGCTGGGCAGATGGTGCAGCAGGCGTGGGCTTTCTTCTCGGGACCCACAGAGGCACACTTCTTTTGTTGCCAGTTTAACACGGTGAATGGGGCAATGTGGGAAATCCTCGGAACTGTGGTCTCGCACCATCTGATGTGAATGGTGAACCAGGCACCCAGCCCGAAAAACAACAGCCCTCTGGGCTCACAAACTCCCAGCTTCTCTCCCCCTCTCTCTGCCAGTTGAAAAGAGAGCAAATCTTCAGTTCCCACCTTGCCTGCCTCACCTACCCTCTCTGTGCTGTTGATGGATAAAAGAGAAACAAATATCTCCCTCCCCTCCACCTTTGGTTTGATTATTAAGGCTTGAAAACTTAATGGCAGCAATATTTCCCAAAAGATGCTTCAGAGTAATAAATTATCAAGACTAAAGCTGTCCCTGGAATATATCCATTACGGGACTGGTGCAGTGTGCACTTTCTGCAAGGATTTCAGTAAGGAAAAATATCCTGTGCTGTAGGCAGGCCAGTTGCTCTGTATTAAAAGTCTGGAATTAGTTTGCTCAGTTTGGGCTCTTTTAAAATTCAGCTGTTAGCACAAGAGTCTGAAACACAGTTGTGATCCAGATTGTTGTCACTGTCCTTCATATCTGTGGGAGGAGTTTGTGCTCCTCTCTTGACTGTCACTGCAGACCCAGAATGGAGATGGGTTGTGTGAGGCTCAGAAGCAGGGGTTTCCCTGGTTTTGGAATGAAGGATTAAAAGAAACAAATTCACAAAATTGCCAAATGTGGAGTTGACTAAATAATGTGACACAATAATTCCCTTTTTTGGAGGATGGTGTGAAATGTGGACCCACTCTTGAGTGATGACAGCTATGCTGTGGACAGAGAACTCTGCTTTCTTAGTGGCCTTGTTCCTCTGTAAATCATGTCACAGTCATGAGTTGCATCATGAAGATGCAGTCTTCAAAATCACACGTGAAAACAGGGAGGTGTCTCTGCTCTCACTTGGTGTGGATATTGAAAAGTGGAAGGGGAAACAGAAATCTGCACACAATTGTCCATTGAGTCCATTACAGATCTTGCATGTCAGGCAGGAGTCCCAGCTTTTCCCAAGACAAGAACCACCATGTAGATGTGCACGGTTTGACCCTGAGCCATGGTGTGCAATCTGTGCGCTGTAGATTGCTTGGAGGTGAGGAACAACCGTAGAGGATCTGATCCAGGAAAGGTGACTAGCCAAGCCCAGGACTATCATCAGTGGGCTTGTGTTCATGACAGTCCATAAATCAAAGCAGCAGGAGGACCACTAGCCTGGGAAATTGGTACTGGGCCATGGAGCTTTCTGCTTCTGGTTTGTAGGCGGTGATTTCAGCCCAGGTGCAGACTTCCTACATACGCTATTTCCACAAAAGCTACTACTACTTGTAATACCAGTTGGCAGCTTTCTTGGCCCATCTGATACTTGGCTTTCTGTGGAGGGGACCCCACTGTATTGCAATGTAGCAACAGGTCTGGAGGAAGGTGGACTATCAGAGAGAACTACAGAAAACCAGAATTTCATTGTCCATGTTATCCAGATGTAAAAAGCAGTGTGCCTGTACATCTGGGGCTGTACTTACAGCACACAACTTGATGGCTTAAAGCTTTCCTTTCTATATCACTTTTAGACCATTTTTTGGTTGGACTCAATGATCTTAAATATCTTTTCCAACCAAAAGGATTCTATGATTTTTAGACCATTTCCTACATTCACGTCAGCCTGTCTCACAAATGCTATTGACAATGTTTTTAAAGAAATAATTTCAATTTTTATTTTTTTCTGTGCCTTCCTTAAATGGTTTAAAATCTTTCTGACAACCCCTCTAGAGACACCTATTTAGTGTCAAAGAGCAGAACGTTCCCAAGTTTTAAAAGGACTCTCGCATAATACTGATCGATCAATGTGCTCCTTGGGAAAATAGCTCTCCAGATGGTCTATCGGGACAGGAATTGCTGGTCATCACAATGCGGAGCCAAAGAGCGTCACTAATGTGGGCTGTTGTGAGGCACGCTTCCTTTGTGGTCCCTTTGAATGTCATCAGTAGGGAAGAAAGTGTGGGAAACTCTGAGAAACTCAGGCCCACACTCTGAGGTTAATAGGGGCTTTGTCAGGAGAGTATTCCTGGGTTGTGGGATCAGCATAATGAACATCATCTTCCCTAAGGGTGGGAATGTGTCGGAGCAGGGGAGAGTCACCCCAGGGGATAGAGGAGCAAGAAGAAGCTGTGCGTTCAATTATTATAAGTGGTAATAATTAATAAATTGTAAACATAACCTTTGCTGTGCTCAGACTGGTGAAATGGGAAGTCTGGCTTTTAGCTCTCAAGTAATTGGTAACCTACAGTCCAGAGCAGCAAGTCTTTGGCTGTTGAAAACCAGAAACTGTTGAAAAACTTGTACCAGCCACAGATCCGAGTCCCTGGAGCAAACAGAAGCTTTCTGGTGGGGTTTGGTTTCTTCTCCCTGCCCAGAAAGGAGACATTTACTGTTTGTCTCCCTTACACCACTCTGCAAACTGTAGGTCTGAATCTTGTGTACGCCAACAGCGAAGCGTTATCCACTCCCCTGCTCCAGCCAGAGTGATGTCATGTGGCCTCAGTGTAAACGAGAGTCAGACCTTGTGCTCTGAATGGCAGGAGCCGTGTCTCTCCAGGTTTAAGCCAATATGGGTGGCAGGAGGTCTGGCCTGAGAAGCCTGACTGATCTCACATGGGTTTTGCACCGTTGTCATTTCTATGGCCTGTGCCCACGTTAGCCTAGAACTGGATGGATGGGGTTCAAATCCAGCAGTCTTTAGTTTGTGCAGCTCTTCTTTGGTTTCCTTTTCTCTTTCCGTTTACGCTGTCAGATTTAAACAAACCACAGTGATGCTGCCAACTGTGACGTTCACAACATGGGTTACTTGGGTGGTGACACATCAGCTGCAGATGATACCCAACCACACAATCGGGGCAGACTTCTCCGTGCCGCGCGTGGCTCTGTTCCCAGTCCTGCAGTGCACAGTCAGGTTGTTTCGGGGTACGTTGCATTTTGACTGAGTCTGAACTCCCCCAAACTTCCTATCCACAAACTGCCTTGGTTAGGCCTGACTCAGAAATGCACGGGCATGGATGAACTGCTTGAATTTTGCTGGGA